GGCTCGTCAAAAAGCGAAGATATCTTGGCTCAATGAAGGGGATGGTAACTCTAAATTCTTTTTTCATGCTATGAAAGAAAAGCGCAATCGGAGCCATATTGCTACTATAAGGGATTCTTCTGGTACAGTTTATGATCATCAGGAGGTATCTACAGCGTTCATTACCCATTTTCAAGGTATTCTAGGTACCTCTAATGTTTTGGTTCCTCCCTCTATGGGGGATTGTGTCTTTGGTCATTCTTTATCGTTATCGGATTCTCTACACTTAATCCGTCCTATTTCAGATATGAAAATAAAGGATGCTTTGTTTGCCATTGGGAATGAAAAGGCCCCAGGCCCTGATGGGTATTCTTCTAAATTCTTTAAAGCAGCTTGGAATGTGGTTGGTAGGGATGTTCTCATTGGGATAAATAATTTCTTCTATTCTGGAACTTTGGAGTATCAGCTGAACCATACTCTTCTATGTCTTGTGCCAAAGGTTCATAATGCTTCTTGTGTTACTGATTATCGGCCAATTGCTTATTGTAATGTATTGTTGAAGTGTATTAGTAAGGTTATTGCTGACCGGATGAAAGGATCGCTGGATGTTCTTGTTAGCAAGGCTCAATCTGCGTTCATTCCTGGGCACCAAATCACTGATAATATCTTAATGGCGCATGAACTGGTCGCTGGATATCAGCGTTCTGAAGGGGAACAAAAATGTGCTTTTAAGATAGATATTCGAAAGGCTTATGACACAGTTGATTGGCAGTTTCTTTTAGAGATGCTGAAGGGAATGGGTTTTCATCCAGTCATGATTAACTGGATAAAGACACTGATCACTTCACCCTCTTATTCTATTTGTGTTAATGGACAGCCGGAGGGTTTTTTTTATGGTAAACGAGGCCTTCGTCAAGGAGATCCTCTCTCCCCTTATCTGTTTACTGTTGTTATGGAGGGTCCCTCGATGCTTCTATCGAAGTGTATTGAGGAAGAGGCAAATTTTTCGTATCATCAAGGTTGTGCGGATATTAAGTTGACTCATCTATGCTTTGCTGATGATTTGTTTATTTTCTCTAAGGGGGACATTATTTCTGTGGAAGTCATCAAACGTGGCCTTCTATTGTTTGAAGAACGATCGGGATTGTCGCCAAGTCTGGAAAAAAGTGAGGTGTTTTTCGGGAATGTAGCAATGGAGGTTCAAACTCTTATACGTGATAGTTTATCTTTTCGGCCAGGGGTTTTC